TCTTGCTGTGAACCTGCTTCCCTTCCAGGGCTGTTTTCGTCTCACCCCCAAGGTCATAATGTGCCCCAACTTCTCTCTTTGTTCTCACAACAGTCCCTGTTAGCATCACTGTACGCTGGGTTTTTTCCTCTGTTTACCTCAGGTGGCTGTGACCGACTTCTGCAGGGAGCTATGGCCTTGCTCTCTGCAAGCCGTTCTCTAACAGCCTCATGTTCATGCAACTTCAGATTTGGATTAAAGTCCCTGTTTTGAGTCCTTAGGAACAAACATCTGAAATATTTTTGGCTTCACCATGTCAGACTGTGTCAGTTTGTGTGGTGAGCAGGCTGTCTAGTACATATCTTCCTGTAAAAATGGAGGGCCCATGTCAGCTTACTAGAATTGGTAGCATGGCTTCAATCCCAGGTAGCAATTGGGTGTTTTCTCTTCTGGCAGTGTGTTCTGGGCACTGGAAGGAGACCTACCTCATGTGCAGCATAATGTCTAAGGTTTTTGTTTCCTTTACTAAATACAGCAGATTAAAGGACCCACCAAGTGGTGATGTTTAGCACAAGTGGGAAAAGGCAAGCTGCTACTCTACAAAAATGCCAGGTATTACCAGAACTTTGGTTAATTGTGAAAATCTGCTTAACATCATGAAGCTAATATTTTAATGGAATAATGAATTATACTTTATGGAAGCAGGGCCACACACTAGTATGTCTCAAGTTAGATGTTCACAAATATGTCACCTTAGGAACTGTATATATCTCTGTGGAATGAAGTAGAAGAGAATATTGACAGTTAGACAGAGGTATGCTAGCGGAGGTATAATGCCTGAAGAAACACATACAGTTCCTGCTTACAGAAGATTTATGCAATCACTATACAGCCATTTTCCTGGATGGTAACAATCTAACCATTATTTGAGATTAAGACAAAACAAACAAACAGACTTAAAAATCCCAAGCAGTATGAATAGGTAGAAGTATTAAAAAATGAATAGTATTTGAAATGACTCAGTAAGTGCTATCAGGAGAGCTCTGGAATAATCACAGCATAAGAAGCAAACAGATTACTTGTATTCATAGACACTATGGCTGTGTAATTATCAAAAGGCTGAGTCAAAACTGAGCAAGTCTGTCAAAAATTCAGCATGTGTCAGGAAATATTTCCTAGCTAATAACATGGCAAAAATCTCCCCTGAAGAAATTAACAGCTCTTTTGCATATCTGAATGATATGTAATGGGAATAAGTGAATACAGAGTCAGCAATTGTGTGAGGAAAGAAGCTCCACTGCGACTTTTATTTTGGCTGTGCCTGAGGTCAGAAGTTCCTTTGTTCTTTCTTTACCTCCCATTAGAGCAAACATAGTCTGCTTTTCTCTTAAGGCTCTTTTTTCCTGTCCAACTTTTTTTAAATAAAACTGTCTGTGTTGCAAACTGTGACTGTTGGCTCATTATTATTTTCAACACTTGCATGTAAATGAAATGTCGCCTTATCCTACACTGTAATACTTTTCAAAGGAAAAAAAACACTTTAAAGAGACAGTAGTGGAGCTGTAATTTATTGAGTTAAAACTTTAAACAGGAATAGTTAGTGGCATGCTGTTAAAGTACTAAACATGCATCAGGTATTTACAGGCTACTTATAACATGCTTTATTTATCAGTGTTTCCACAGCTTTGCACAGTACTGCTTTTCAGATATGGAACATTGATTCCCTTTGTTTTGCCTGTCAGCTTTCAAGCTCTTTGGGGCCAGCATTATTGTTCGCTTAAAAGTCGTTAGTGTTCCATTATATGCTATGGAGAATGCATCCATTTACTGCAGGTGCTTACAGCAGGAGAAAGTTAAATAATATCAAGTGCATATGAGATGTTACATTTATATGCATGGTTCCTTCTATGGAGAGTATAAACTGGAAGGGTGAGCAGACTGTTTCTCAGGTTGCCGTGAACCAGAGACTGAGCTGTAACAAATCCGTGGCTGTGTCATAGTTGTCATTTTGTTGTTCACCATGACCATATGGAATTTCACAGCAACAGCAGGGGTAGGACTTGGATCTGCATGCATCACAAATCTCACCTCGTTGCCACTGGAGGAAGGACTTTGCCTTGTTTTGGAATTTGTGTATGGGGCTCTAGTAGTGGAGACTACCACGTGTGAGAAAAGGCAATGCATTGCTGCATTAGTACCAGTAATAACAGTAGAGCTGGTGGCTTTTATTTGCTCTAGGCCATTAAGTTGCTTTATCCTTTCCCAGTGGTTCATTTTATAGAAGATGGCAAGAAAAGACTCATATGACAAGGGTGCTTATACTTCAGTGACAAATAGCTTTTTTCCTCTTTATGGATGTATTTACCTAATGATTAAAATCCCAGCTATAAGATGCTTAGGGGTAGCTATTTGGTCATGTGGCATATATTTTCACATGAGACTACGCAGCAAGCGTGCATTTGTGAATGGGATCATATGATTCAGCATCCCCAAGTATGTTGACTTTTGTGCAGCAAGGGACAGTACTAAGCTTAGTGCTATGAGCTAAGCTTTCTATGACTTTTTTCAGTGCCCTGGCCTGGGACAAGTACAACAAAATTTAATGTGGAAGCCCTATAGAAGAGGAAGGTGATTTTTGTTTTTAGAGTGCATTTTCCTTTCTCACGCCCATTCTTTCACTAATTTCACTCTCTTACTCACATATCCAGAAGCACCAAGATGTGTGGCGAAGTGATAGGGCTAGGATTACTCACAGTGACAGGAAGAGTAAAAGATTACATTCTCATCATATCTGCTGTTTTTTCTTTATTGGTGATCACATGGTGGGTTTTGACTATAACTTTTGTATGCTTTAGGAGTTGACAGTGATTGCAATCTTAGCCTTTTCATTCTGTACCATCTCTGTAAGTCAGTAGGCAACATTGCTGATTTCCCTACTGTCCTTTTGCCACCTTGTCTGGGTGGTTTATAACTGTAATCCTGTTCTTTATCTTCTTGTCACCTTCTCTTAATGACTTGATTTTGTCTTTTATTTTAGGAAACCAGACTGTCGCGGATGAAAGTATTGACACGGTAATGATTTAGTAAAAATAATCTAGATTTATTAATAACTAACAACAATTTGTCAATACAAAATAACTCAGAAAAGTGACTTATTCAGATTCTAAAATGACAAGATTCACTCTAATTTACTTAACGGTACCTTAATTTATATAGATATATGTGCATACACAAAACAGACATAAACATACAGAAACAAAGGTATTTGGATTCAGTATACAAAAGGGACAGACACACACAGGAACAAGGGCAAGGGTACGTATACACAAACACCCCCACACACACACACACACCCACCCCAATAAACAGGGAAAGAACGGGTGAAATAGAAGCTAGCTCAAAGAAAATTTCTTTCTTGAGTTTAGAGCAAATACAATGCCTTGGCATTCCTCAACGGGTGATAATTGAGACTCTAGCAGGTGGACTTCGCCCTGGCCTTCCATCTGGAGCAGATGACACCTTAAGAGTTTTGGTACTTGAGGCGTCCCAGCTCAGGGGAGATGCTGGTCACAGGCCTGCTGTGATCCAGGAGAGCTCAAAGGGTCTCTCTGGTGGTCCCAGTTTATAGGGTCCAAGGTAGTTGACTTCTGTCAAATACTATCTGGTGCCTTCTGGCAGTTGCACAAGAATTTGATGAATGCAACCCTGTTATTATTCCATCTGATCACATCCCAGGCACAGGTGTGTTAGGCCATCAGGAGATGATGGGCCATTGTAACCCTTTCTGAGCAATCAGAGGGGGGCAGGAGCCAGGCTTGTTAAAGTTATCAGTCCTTATCTCCACAGATTGGTGTATGGCTTGGGGGGGATTTGGATGGAATCACACCTGGCACCAAGCAGCCTGGCAGGGAAGGATCAGGATTGCACCACTACACAGACCTCTTGAGAAACTACATATACAGAAGTGCAATTGGTAATGTGTATTTGGGGTTGCCTGTCAACACATGACATCACTTACTGCTTCTTTGACTGTTTCTTTTGGTGCTTTCACAACACATACATTTTCATTCATACCTTTTCCTAACTATTCTTTGTAGTCCTATTACAGATCCCAACATATGTAATTGATTGGTGGGACACAACAACATCCTTTGCACAAACAAGTTCCATAATCCCTTTGAATTCTCTGGTCCTTGAAGAGATATATCATAAAAGCTGTAGGTATATGCTTTGTTTTGTTGCATCTCATCCTGAGGAGTCACTACAGTATTTTCCATCTACCTTATCCTTCCTCTGTTTAGAAAATACTGCTTTAATTGTGCAGAGCATCCAGTGAACTGATGAGTCCATGTTGCCTTATGACAAGCACTGCACTTGAAGAAATTCTTGTGTCATGCTTTCTGTATTTATTTTTTCTGGACCTTTATTAATTGGAATCTTTGCCTGGAAAATAGGACCTTTATGCTCCTTGTAAAAGCATCGTGGACTAAGAAAAAGCTAGAAGATACTTCATTAGCTTATGTTGTAATTAAATGGTCTGAGAGAGGAAGAGTGTGTCTTTATTACATACGTAATAAGCAGCATAGATAATGTATAATATGGAAAAAATAACTTTTTCTTGTAAAGAGGTTGGAGGTTGTTTATTTATTTTCCTAAGAGGTGTTATCAGTGCTAGAAATGTGAGTTGTAATACCTGTTCTGTAATAACAATCTTTTGAGAGTAGCTGGCTCAGTCATCTATAATGATGTGATTTTTTTTTTTTTTTTTTTTTTTGTGGGTATTCTGTTTCTTTGGTCAGTTTGTGTTAGCTGGTTAATTGTTTTCCTTAAAGAAATTTGTGACGATGAAGTGAAATAAATTGAATTGATGCTTAAATTTAAAAAAGGGGGGGATAATTTTAAGTTATGTTCCTTTTTGTAGAGGATGTTTGTTTCATGTTAATATATGTGAATGATAGTAGATTATGTTTCTGTTCAGTTCACAGAATCTTGTATATTATAATTAGCCTTTTCTTTTCCAGAGCTAAGATCACAGCTAACAAGTGATGAAGCAGCCTTTCTTTTACTGGAGCTCAGGCAGGGGAAAGGTCTTTCATTTCCTTTCCCAAACTCTTGGTATTTGTCAAAGAATGCAGAGATGATTGAAAGGGTGTGTATAAAAATAATTAAAATTAAAATAAAATTCTAAAATATTTTTAATGCTTCTACAAGCCCTGTCGTCTTTTTACCGAGAGAAGGGGTAGCTTGTTCATATGACCTTTCCCTTCTGGGGCCTATTTTTTCCATTTTAATTTAGGTCATAACTTCTTAGAACCTGTATCTGAAACTAGTTCTAATTCTAGCATTAGTATTAATATTAATTCTGAATTTGAGACATAGTAAGACCTTGTTTTACAGAAGTATTGAGTACACATGAATTCTATGAAATTCTCTAATCTAGAACCTGTTGCATTTAATAAAAAAGGGGCATTTTTTTCAAAGACTCATAGAACAGACCAGGTTGGAAGGGGCATCAAAAGATCCATCTGGTTCAACCTTTGGTGGAAAAGGGAGCCTAGATGAGATTATCTAGCACCCTGTCCAGTCATGTGTTGTTGAATCTTCACAAAAGTGGGTTTATTAAAAGGTAGACATCCCACAATGGCAAAGCAGACATTTAAAATAAAAAAAAAACCAAACCAAAACAAAACAACTTGGACTTCAGACAGCATTTGCCTCTAGATTATAACCTTTGATAAAACAGTTCATTTTGCATCTAAACTATAATTACTACCTCCTGTTTCTTCAAAGCCAAAGAATGACAAAATGAATAGGCCTTTTTTAAGGTATTATGTTTTAGGGATTTGATAAATGATAATGAGAAGACTGTCTTCAATAAATAACTAAGTCTGGTTTATGTAATTTGAATCTAGTTTTCAGTCTTTTATTCAGATTTCATGTTTTTTCTTCTGCTTTCCTAAAAAGCAATGGGGTATCTCTCAGCCATTTCTTTCTGTGAAGGATTTGAAGGTGAATGAGGCTCCACCTGGTTCAGATAACATTTTCGTGCTGCCTAGATGTGGGAATTATGGGAGTCTAAACTAATAATCATAGTGTCAGACTTAACTGTGAGTGGGGGAGAAGTATGAACTGAGTTAGCACATAAAGGTGTCTCTCTGATTTGCAGTTGCAGTTACCAAGGAAAGCAGTGATTTTTAGCAATGTGTGGGCATTAGAGATGATCTTTTTGACTTGGCAGCAGCTCAAAAGGTTATTCCTGTCAGCTTTGTTCGTGTCCTTATTCCTTTTCCATCACCCTATTTGTGTAATGCAAGATAGTGCTAACCCTGTTCTAGTGTTTTATTTGCAAAACACCTATTCAGGCTGTAATCTCCCTTCTTGTAATTCTCTGCAGAGCACAGTCAATCTCTATCTCAGGAGAAGTGATGTTAGCTCGAGTGTTTAGGATTCTACATAGCATCTGTATGAGCCTTCACTTCTTTTTCCCCTCTGTGACCACATCTCACAGCTCTGTTCCTGTGCCCTAAGAACATGAGACTTTTAACCAGATAAGGTAATTTATGTGTATTTTCATAAGACCGAGATTGTGAAAGTCAGCTCCATAACTCATAAAAAGGATCATCTGCTTCCATTTCTGTAAACCAAAATGAAAAAACAAATTGTTTTGGTTTTGTTCTGTAAATTCTTCATGCACATAAACATGAGACACCCACTTGTGTTCCTATTCATATGCATAATGTGACCAGTGTTAACTTAAATCAACCCACATAAAATTGGAAGGAAAAAACAAGATTATTATTCTAATATCGATTTTTAAATATTGTAAGAATGTGTGCTGTTAGTGGAAAGGATATGAGTACGAAGGTAAAATGTAAGTCTTCACGGACTTCTTATGTAACACTGAGAACGCATGAACAGGAAAAGGACAGACCATGATCCTTAGGGCAGAGGCTGTGTAGCTGTAGCCCTGGCTGTCCCCCAGCATAGAAAGAACAGGTTTCTTTTGCTTTTTGAATAATATCATGCAGAACAAGTGTCTTCTGTCCTAGAAGAAGTTTTTATTTTCTTTGACCAGCTCATTAAAGTTGGAATTTGTCCCTCAATACATCTGTAAACTGCTGTGAAAATTGTTAATTTCTTTTGGAAATGATGTTTCATTTATTTCCCAGAGCTCTGATTCAGCACTAAATACTGGGCACACTCCAGATCATAAGACTGCAAAACAGTTTTGAAAAAAGCCTTAGACCTTCATACATTTTAAAATGTTTGAGAGAATAAAATGTGGTGACTCTTTCAAGTGTGACACTGGAAACTTCTTAAAAAAATGCATCCCAAAATGGTCATCCCTTCAAAAAGGTGCAAATAACCAAAGGTGCTTTCTCAATTGTTAATTTTTAATTGTTTGGTGTTCAACCGTGCTGCTAAAGAATGTGTCAATAAGAGAAACAACCCGAGCCTGTAGATTCTCTTGGACATTGAAGTAGGAGAGAGGATCTGATCAGGGCATGAAAGGTTCTATGATAGTAATGCTTTTAAAGAGGAGTAACTTTCAGTTAAGGTGGTGAGCTGGGTCTTCGGAATCCATTTTTTCAGCTCACGTTTCAGACTTAGTCTGATTATAGATAACGCACATCAGTCTGCCTTGATACTCTCTGTACTGTAGAAGATGTGAGTATTTTCTCTCTGGATAATTTTGCATTGCAAGGTCTATAGGTACAGTAACTTCCTGTGTTTGCACACCACTTACCAGACATGAGCCTCCTATTGTAAGGCCCATAAACTTTATTGTGCAAGTAGATCTTGCACTATGAGGAGGAAAGATGTGAAAATCTTGCTGTTTTGACTGCAAGTAAGTTTTTGTTTGCATGCTATTGCTGTTATATTTGCACTATGTGGGTAAGCCAGCCACTCACTTCTAGGTTTCAGTAGCACTTTTTTTCCACTGCCTGGCTACTCTTATCTTTTTCTGCAACTGGGGAATGTGCATCATTACTTTTTGTTGCCTGCCGTTGTCAGGGTAATTCATTCTCATTTGCCTCGCCTCATTCCTTGAGGCGTCAGGGACGATTCTTCTTTTGTAGTCACCTTGCTAAACAATGTGACATCTGCTGTCTGGCTGTGGCATTGCAGCGCTTAAGTGTGCATTGCTGAAAAATGCAAGCACTTTATGGAATTATATAGCTGACTTTCAACTAAAAGGATGCTCCATTTGAAGCTCATTTATTTTCTTAGAAACATTTAGAACTACAACTTCAGGATGTATAATTTCAGGCTGTCTTAGTTAAAACATTTCTCTGAAGCACTGAAAGTTAGAATACATCTAATTCCATTCATTGCCACCTTTGAGGAAATAACTGCTTAGAATTGTAGATTAGAGGGAAAAAAGTGTTGATATTAAATAAGTAATTTATCTTTACCTTCTTTTCCTGCTGTAAGTGCAAAAACGGGAAAATACTCCAAATAAGCTAACTTTATCAAGTACCTAATTAGCTGAGTTTTTATGCTTCAACATAAAACTAGTTATGAATGGGATGATAAAAAAGAATTCTTTCATAACCTAATTTTTAGATGAAGAAAAAACATGCATTTGATCACAGCCATTGATTTTCCTGACAGCGCCACAGCCAGTGAATTGTTCCTCATTAATACAGCTATATGAAAGTGGCTTTTTTCATTTCACATCACATTTAGTGTGACTTTGTCTTTTTTGTAGCTTGATGTGGTGCTGCTTTATCCATGTTAGCAAATGCTGAGCCCCAGCAAGAATGGATTTGTAGAGTGAAATAGTTGATGCCGAGGACCTTATACACAGGCTGCATTCCTTCAAGGCTTTTACAGTATGCTAGTTACAGTCTTGTCCCAGCAGCTGAGCATCCATAGCATCCTTTAGCATACACTCTGGAATGCATCTTCTGGTTTTGTTTCATCCTAAGGGTATCCAATTTGTGCCCTCACAGACTCCTCAATCATGTAGCCAAGCCTAGAGTAAGCAGGGATGCTTGGGGAGATTGTGCCAAAATGGATGGAGGTACTCCTCCTCTGCATTAAAATGCCAATGTAAACTCACTCATCGACTCTCAGTTGTAGATGAAACTGCCTGTTTCCCTGCTTATTTCCACATTGATTCACCAAAGGGAATAGAGATTGAATTCCTGGGACATATGTCATGGTAGCTGTAGGGTTTCAGTTGATAATGTTACTGCTATTAGCATGCTGATTGAACTTTTCTCCCCATGAACTTTTGAATTTTTATACCTCCAAGTCTTTCATATTACTCACACAGTGAAACAGTTTTAGATCCTGTTACCCAAACTCGCTTAACCTCACAGATGGCACTAAAAACTGAACAGAAAATCCAGCATGTCATTATGAAAAAAAATTACAAAATACACGGAATGTGTAGATCTGATGCATTAATCTTTGTTAGTGGCACTTAGACAATATTATTGTAGTAAAATATTAATGAGGACTGAGTTGTTGCTTAGATGAGATTTCCACTGCAGTTAGGTTTCTTGGATGCCTCTCCCAACTTTATCATTGATGTGCTGTCTAACCATAAACTCAGTTTTCCTTAAATTTTTATATTTTTTACTTTAAAGATCCAAGGACTCCTGAAGACATGTAAATATTATGACATTTAATTTAGAGATCCTGGTATCTTAATATCAAGGTACATTACAGGAAAAGCTAAAAAAACATTGAGACCTTCAAATGAAGACTGTAAATAGCTAGAAAAACCCTGTTTATACTGCTGAAGTAGTAAAATTATATTTTCCCAAAGAACTAATTCAATGTTTCATGATTTATCAAGCCTGATAAAATCCTGCTATCATTTCTGTGAAAAAGCCATTTTTCTTCCTGAACTCTTTGGTGTAATAATTTGTCAGCATCACTTTATTAGAGGAATGATCTGTTCAGTGTTCGATCATGTTATTGAATATAGCTTTGAAGATGACAAAAAATGTTGTAAGATTATTGCACATTCAACATTACTTCTCCTGAAGTGTTTTTAGACACTAAAAAGACATTCAACCTATAAAGATCTGCTTTTCTTCATACTACTAGTTTATAATATT